TGATACAGAAATTCTATAGCCAATACCGATATGATAAAAAAAAAATGTTTTTTACATTTTCGTATAAGATGTTGAGAGCAAAGATAGGGGATCAAAAATATTCATAGCGCTGAACTAAGAAATCCCAGCAAAATGATAGTAAACACGAAACATACAAAATATGATATACAAGTACAACCCTTAAGAATTATGTTAAGTGCTTCAGTTCTGGAATAGTGTTGGCTGACTCTTGCTCTGTCGTGACTTGGCGGGACCAGACATCATTAAGTGCTCTTCGTATTGTGACAAATCAAACTGTCTGGATCAACAAAAAGGCCTACAAGCTTTTTGTATGTGTACAATAAGCAAAAATGTTTCTCTAAACCTCCATGTGTGTTCACACAGGTGCAGCCCGATATTTTTTACATTTGCATATAATCTGCATGTTGTTGTTGCAACTGCTCAAGTGGTTTGTCGACATATTTCGAAACTAATGTGTAGTGACTAGAAGCTGACACCGTTTCACAGTGACACACAGCAAAACCTGCCAAAAGCCAAGCATTCAGCCCTAAAGTAGAGCTCATAGACTGTATAGAGTAGAGCTCCACCCTTTTAGAATTGCACAGCCACAACATTGTCCAACTCAGGATGGATAAAATAATATTAAGAAATTCATGCAGCTGAACCAGATAAACCACATAATTTCTTCTGCACATTTGCATAGTCGTGTTAAAACCTGGAGCCTTCATTACCCACTATGCAACCTGCCACAGATTGGTTAAAGATTTGGGCAGTGGACGTATAAAGAGACCTGGATACAGCCTTTTGAGGCTGTGACACTGTTCATTCATATAAAAAGGTTGCTCAGTAGTGCATAGAGCCAAAAACATTATCTTGACTGTTACTGACTTATAGTGAGTATAACAGGACCCAGATCTTCCACATACATGGGACCCTTAGAGATACATAACCCTGCCTCCCAGCAACTCACCTCGACTCACACACATTAGCTTGCAATTAAGGACTAATGATTTAAGTTGATTAACCTTAACTACATAAAAGTTAAGTCTATGGGAAAAAGGATGTTTGGGACCCATGGCTTTATGTGAAGGACGCGGAAGTTGTAGTCCCACAGTTTGGCCACAAGGAAAGGAGACTGCCGCTCTTCCTTGAGGGCTGATTGTGGCACATTATACTAGAAGCAGCTAAATCAGTGTCACTAGAAAACAGAGGTAAGCTCACTTGTTTTTAATCAAACACCCCTAAATGTATTCACTTTCAAAGTGTTATTCTTCAGCCTCAATTGACTTTGCCTCAAGTGACATCACTTAGAGCAGTTAATCAGTTTTGGCATTGCTCCCTCTGGAGACCAAAAAAAGCTTTAGTAACTTTTTACACATATGCGGTAGAACCCCTCAACGACCTGTTAACGGACTTTGATTTGAAAATCAGTAGAGTTCCCATTTAAAACGCTCTTAAAAACCTCCTTTGAACTCACCAGCATAGATCTGTCCTATCCAAAAGAAAACACCCGGGAGACTGCTAGCAAAAAAGCAACAATCAAATATGACAGCCAATCAATACAATTTCAGTAGCCTCATATTTACTTTTAGTAAACACCTGCAGAGATCTATTACTTGACCTTGGGCCTGGCCCTAAGCATACACTTTACAGTTAGCCCCTAATACTGCAGCATCACTGTGTGTGAGGAGGAGTGAGGCTACAGCCTTGTAGCATACTACAGAGTTGCTGCTCAAGGAGGAACTAGGCAAAAGGCTGGGAGAAAATCTACAAAATCCTCCATAACTGCGTCTTCCTCTTTACAGAACAGAGAAGGACTGAATGAATGCTGCTGGCCTTGTATGGAAGCAGCCTCCATCAGGATTTACACACAGAGAATGTCATTTGTCAAAGAGGCAAAGCCCTGAATAAGTACAAACAAAGCCCATGTGATAACTGAACCAATTAAACATTTATTTAACTATCCAGTTTTGTCCACTTTTCCTTTGAAAGCATCACTCAGTAGAGTCAACAATAAGAGACGTGACGTTAACACTGTACTCATTTTACTGCTGTTCAACAAGAATACCCTTGAAATGTGTCCTGAAATGCAGTAAGAGAAAAAAGAGAAAAGCATGGCCTTGCCTGAAGAATTGTTTCTCTCTACTCTACTGAGTCACCACATAAACAGAGAACAGACTGACTGCAATAATCATAGAATTCCCATTAGATCCAGTATCTACTTATTGAAGTAATCAAATATTAACAAAGGAAATAAATGATAGTTTCCCAACAGTTTCACTGCATCTTAATAAACAACAACTATCTCTCCCAACTTTTAGGAGCAGAATGCCAAGGAGTGGTACATGGCAAGCTTTAAAGTATTTTTTTGTGAAGGTATATTTTGAAATCTACAGCAACTCAAAGTTTTCTTGAGAAATCCAATCCCACGCACTTTTCCAAAGAATAACCTTTTAATGAAAAAATAAATGAAAGGAAGTAAAGGAAAAAGCAGCAGCTTGTTTTCTTAGTTTCGCTATGTCTCCAAATAAGCAGGGAGGGGTCAAGTAAGGACACGCTTGGCCATTCTTTTATGACAAATACCTAACAGGCACCCACTCCTGTCTGAGCCTGGCAATGGCTCTATAGATATTTTTCATGTCAAACAGATGGATTTGAACTCCTTGTTATTGTCACACATAAAGAAAAAGGTTTATTTTGCTGAAATAGCCTTTTCCTGTTTGGCTACATTCTCAGCATTACTAGTACACTCCAGTGAGTTTTTCCCCTAGGGTAAGGAGTGTTTTTGTGAGGCTGTCAAATATATGCTGTAAAGAGCTGGTACATTTCAGCAGCACTGACCAAAGCCTTGTAACCATTAATGAGTCCCCGCAGAGTGAAGTTCACCTTTGGCTGGCCGACACTATTTTCTGCCCACAACCTCTACTGGTAATTCATTCATCTCAAACAAGACTGAATTATGTAGTGACAAGAACTGTATGGATATTTACATAATGTATGCATGTTCCAGAAGACGTTGACCTATAGGTGAGGAAAAATAAGCCTTTGGCAGTTTTCTCATCCCATTATAATTTCTAAAAGCCTGTTTGAATATCACACACAAACAACGTGGTTGATCTAAAACCACTGTGGTAACATGTTAGTGTACTTGCAACCAATAATGCATTTTACCACAAAGTATAATTGTAGTTTTTGTTGATGCACACACAAAACTGTACCTCAACTCACATTCAACCAATGTTTTCCATACCGTAAACAAATACATAGACTAATAACAGCAATGTTTATATTAACAGGTTTTCTAGGCCTCTATTCTATTATTTACATACAATGTTCACTTCAGACATGCTAAACTTTCCCGACTTGTTTTGCTGTGACAGACCACTGCCCACAATGACACACCACATAGGATTAAAAATGGTGTAAGCCTAAGTGAAGTCTTCAAAGTTCAATTATTCATTCAGATCAGAGGGAAAACAACATCATAGTATCAGTGTTGGTGCTTGTCAGATATGTACTAAGTAAATACATTTGTTCCTGCTCAAGATCATATTCAACTTTATTGTTATTGCACATATTACAGGTGTGAGACAACGAAATGCAGTTTAGCTTCTAACAAGGAGTGCAAAAAGCAGAATAAAATATAGAATTAATTGAATGATGAATAAACAGTGAGGTGGGTATGAATACACTAGATCAGGGGTGTCAAACTCAAATCTGGCCCGTGAGTTCATTTAATGTGGCACCACAAGAGCTTGCAAAGAATATGATATGTTTATTATACGGTTACATGATGATTTACAGATGCACGATGCCCATAAACTACATGTCCCACAATGCATCTCAAATTTGACTTTTTTTCTTCTAAATATGCCTTTTTTCTTAGAATTTGACCTTTTCTCAGAACCTTTTTTATTTCACTTATTTTTTTCAAATTCTCACTTCTTCTTTTTGTGACTTTTTCCCCAGAATGTGGCTTTTCTTTTTAAATCATTTTGTGCCATTCTCACTGAAGAGACTTGCTATTATTCACCCTATCTTCTGCTTTCAGACATAGTTTATTATGAAGTTATTACCCTATCAGATAATAATCCAATGCAGAGGTAATCATGTAAAAATAATGCATTACTGTATATATATATATTTATTATATATGTATTTTTATATATTCTTAAAGTTACAACCGGCCCTTTGAGTGCAGTCATGATGCTGATAGGGGCCCGCGATGCAATTGAGTTTGACCCCCCTGCACTAGATATACACAGCAGCCTGTGAGCAGTATGAACAGTGTGTAAGAATATGCTAAGATATATAAAGTATAAAACAAGCCTAGTGCCTAGTCAAAAATGCAGTGGCTAAAAACCAGGCTCAGCCATTGGACTTTCCCTTGTGTTTCGGTAGTGACATGAAAACTGGGGACATGATTTTTTGAGTATAGTTTGTTTTATTAAAAAATTAAACCCACAATAAATGTAAATATTCCAACTTCTGTTTGAATGTAATCATAAAGATCTTCTAAATACACCATTGAACAAAATAAAATGTTTTAAGTGTTATTTACAGAAATTGAAATTGAAATGTCAGGGTTGGGGACAGCTACTTCCCAATAGAAAGTACCCTATAAATGATGTTTTTGTATTAAGCTTATCACTATCTAATTGAATGCCTTGTGTTTAAATAGACCATAACATATTCTTAGTACATATCTATGTCATGAATACTTAATTGTTTTGTTAAATCGTTTTTCTTGTTGTGGGACCGCACTTTGCCCTAATTCGGTAGAATGCCCCATATACCAAAACGTTGTCAAGGGCCAAAATATCACGTTTGTAATCGTTGGTAATGTAGAACTCGTCGTGTAAACAGATAGTTAGCTCCGACAGAAAAGCTAGGCCCACACTTTGGGTGTGTAGTAAAACGGTGTGTCTCTCTGTTGTACAGAACAATTTACATATTCATTAGCACAAAGAAGTTTAATTTCAAACTTGATAAGAACTTACGTTGTATTCATATCGGGCGGAATGCATCTTCCAAAAGCGCCCTCCCACTGAAGTCCAACAGGATCAGCTTTACCTTCACACCAGTGTTGTAATGAATAGTAGATGTGTAGCTTATTCTTTATAAAAATGACTATATTATCACTTCGTTAAGGTTAAATCCAAATGTCTGCAGGTCTTCTTGTATCGTCACGAAGCACCTGAGACAGAGCTCTTCCGCACACACCTTTGGGGGAATAAACCACGCCCCTAAATACCTGCTGTATGTGCAGTGTAGCGGTTTGTGGGTGAAACCAATTCAAAGAACTACAAGACCATGCTGTCATTGCACCTAATAATTACCTATGACTCTTAACCCACATGTTTATTCAAACACCTGCTTCTCCCCCGTTTGGTGTGGTCCATTTACGGATGTTGTCGCCAAGAACTGGTTTACTTTTAGACCACTTTATTTAATATCTTTAGTTACTTTGCAGATTTTGATTAATGATGTGAAATATAATCAACTCTTTAGTTCCACCTGGAGTAAATTCACAAGCTACCCTGCAGTATACAAAGTAATTAAAACTAGCTGCACCTTTACCAGCTGTGATAAACACTTTAATGCATACAATAAGTATAATACAAATATGTAGCCTAACATCATTCTGAAATGGGCCAATCTGCATATTGAGTACTTTTACTTTTTGTATTTTAAGTAGCCTATATTTGTAGGCTATGCCAATACTTTTGCACTTTTACTTGAGGAGCATTTTTTAATGAAACCTCCTGGATGAGGTCTTCCTACAGTAAGTCTGCTTGCTGTTAATCTTATATGTAAACCCACACATTAAAGGTAATGTCTATTGGTATTCTACATATATACAGTCTATGGTATTCTATTTTCAGGTGGATCTTCCCTCAAACTGACGCTGAAATTCTGTGCAGTCTTCACATACACCACCAGATGTCCCCCTTTACCAAGCCACCGTGAGGACACCATAAGTAAACTCTGTGATAAATACCCGCAGAAACAGGGCTTGGTTCTGTCAGGCTTCATCCTCATAATATCCCAGGCTGCCATTGGAGAGCCCGTTGGCGAGAGCGAGCAGGACGCAGACGCAGGAGATATCGCAGGAAGGCGCCCGACGAACGCAGTGTCCATCACTTCAGCTGATGTAACCAGACAGCCTATGGTGGAGGCAGTTATTTAACATTTAACTTCGTTATAACAAATATAAAAGAAGGCGAGAAAATGGGACATACCGCAATACCAATATTAATGGCTGTATTGTCCTACTGCGTGCTGGACAACGTCGAGGTAAGAGCAACACAATCTGAACCATTTGTACCAATGGCACAATGTAATTTTGCCTTCTGTTAAGCTGAATGTCGATGTGACTTTTTTATAAAATAATGCGTTATCATAGTTAATGTCGCCATTACACATGCATTTCATAGGCTACAGCTGCCTCTATCTCCATATTGCTGACACACACCCTTATCAATCTAGGGCATGTTTAATTTGTAAATGCATCCTCTGGCTCCGTCCTATGTCAACAAGAGTAATGGCACGCAACGTCCACCAAAAGGCAGTGATAGAGAGAGGATTTACAAATGCAAATGCTGCAGTAAAATATGAATGATAGCCAGAATTCAGGACGTAAATATAAAAGGCTTTATGAAGAAGTGGTTTACAGTGTATTCGGTTTGCTGCGTCAAGTCGGGGCCTGTATCAGATATGGAAAAAATGTCACTCAGGCTTTTCTGTTTGGAAGGATGGAAATCAAATCCCATCTCATTGCGTCCCATCTGGCCTTGTCAGAGAGAAAGGAATCAGCTTGCATCCGTCCTTTTTAGAGGAGTGGTGCAGCTCTTCAGCAGGATGGAGTCATGCATATTCAATTGCTTTTCTGTATTCCATTTTTGGTTTTGATGGCAAAGCACTGAATAGATAAGAAAAAAGTGGTCTTAGATTTTCAGTGGATCATGTTCTTTCATAAGGGCCTACCTCTATTTCTAAATATCCGAATAAACTGATCATCGAAGAGGGGGTGACTTTGATATATCATTGGACATAGAGTGCAATCCAGAGTATTCTAGTGAGAGATGTGGAGTCATTTTATCGGCATCTGTCTCCATCAATATGTAGAGAGGAGATAGTGAAAGTCTCTGTTAGAGAACGACAGCTGCTTCCACCTTCCCACTGTCTTATCAGCAGACATGCAGTTTGATGGACTTTCATTTTCAATAACTCCATCACCCATCATCTCATTCCTGTAATGGACCTGAGGCATTAATGCAGGTTGGAGCATGGACATTTGTGTGTAGAAACAGGGTGGTGTTTGGAGGTGAGTGTGGATGGTATGGGGGAGGGAGGAGGGGAGGGGAGGATGAGTCATGATGTCCCAGCTGGAGCTGTGGTTCAGGTCAGACATACTTTCCCACCTGGAAATTAAGAGTGAATGAAGTTACAGTCAGAGATAGATAACTGAGCATCCTGTCTGTTGGTTCAGAGTCTGCCCAAGTTCCTAAGAGGATTTGTGAGATGTTTATTTATTAGCCATCTTCCACAGTGATTCTGCAACAGTCATAAAGCCTCTCCTTTCATTTTGAAATAATTTCACTTCTCTAAGAGCCTTAGTGGGATTACTGCTATGCTGAGGAACAGGCTTTAGCTTCATACAAGGAGACCTGCCCATGAAGGTTTACACTGAAGATTACTCTGAGAGAGTTGGCTGGCTGGATTACACTGTGGTATTAGCCCTAATAAAACTGTCAGCCTCCCCTAATTTACTCAACATTTATTCAGATGGAAATGTGCAAATTGGATACATTTGTTTTGATCTCTCTTTAATAGTGTTAAATGTATATGTGTCAGTGCACTGGGATAATCAGAATATAATCAAATTACACTTCCATTCAGCGTTCTGAATTATAAAGCCATGATCATTTGTTAACTGAAATACATATCAAGCATCATACTGTGTTCTGATTGGTTGGACACATTGATGCTAAGTTGTCACATATGTCACTCAAGTCCTATTTGGGCTTCCTATGGCAGCTGCCAGTATTGTACTTGTCACAGCCCCAAGAGCATTTAGATAATTGACATGATACTCAAGGTCAAGCGTGAAAATATGACAACCACCTTTTTAGGCAGCCTGTACATTTCTACATCATGAAGTCTGACATGCATGGAGCATAGAACATTGTTTTAACTTTTTTGGGTTATGTGTGCCAGCAGGTTTTCTATGGGTCACATGTGCTCTTTCATATTTAATAGGAGTAGGCAATATACCGTTTTAATCACATTATGATTGTGATGCATACAATATTATATGGGTAGGTGATGTAACTCAGACCTTGATACACTTTTTGTAAAATGCCATTCTCCCCATGATTTTTTCACATGGATTAGAAGTACCTTGATTTACCAGACATTTCATCTTCTGGGTTTGTCAAAAATCAGGCCTTTGTGGCTAGCTTTTTTATTCATTGAACTTAGATATTTTGATGAGCATTGATAACATTTTCCTAAAGCATGAGTTGACATATTCAGGAATCTTGTTTGGTCCAACCAACACTCCCACCCCTAAAGGTATTCAGTTTCCTATCAGAAAAAATAAGGAAAACAAGAGTGTTTGTTTCAAATATATTTTACTTGAATGACTAATTGATTTTCAAAATGGTTGCTAATTACATCTGTTGACGAATAGTTTCAGCTCTTACAGTATTAGTGAATGATATGTAATTACATTTTACCAATATCAATTGATATTGATATATCAATATCAATATTAAAATGTTTCCCGGTATATCAATGTAATCATATTACCTCACAGAAATGTATTTTTTTAGAAGGAGGGAATTAAATAATCTATCACTCCAAGTACATCTCGCATTGATGCAACATGAATTTAAACAAATCTGATATTATCATTTAGCTGTCCTGGTCAATGATTTGCAACATTTGCTATAATGCTCTCATACAATTGGAGATATTGAAGAAACAGCTACTGCAGCAATGGTTCTACTAACAGTTTCAAATACGTATTATCATAAAGCACAAAGCTAAATAATCATATTACCCTGGGATATGTTTTATCAGACCACCCAGGTGCTCTCTTTAAGATTACAAACATTGGGGAATAACTATGGCAATGAGAGTTCTCACTTGTCAAAATGCCAGACTGCAGTTTGTGAGATGTATCTACAGCAAAACCACCACAAAGGAAAACCTGATTTATGAAAGCTTCATATAAAGATTGTGTTTGGTGTAGCCGGATGTGATAAAAGGCATGTGACAAGCGAGACTAAAGACTACAGGTACGTGCTCAGCTTTTTCATCAAGTTCTGTATTTATCAAGATAAATGACTGCAGCATGAACCTGAGCACGAGCACTCGGCTCCAGAGAGGCTTCAGAAGAAGATTGGTGGCACTCTCGGAAAATCCCACCGTACCTACAGGTTTCAGGAAATACAGAAATCTGGGAGTGCATGAAACATAAAGGGAGGGAGAGAAAATGGAAGTAAACAGCGGAAGGATAGGAAGCAGATTAAAGTACGGCTAGAGATTAAAATAAAAATGATGAGTCATAAAATTGCAGCTCCTCCCAAACAGCAATTTCAGGCCTCGTGCTGGAATACAGCCATTCAGATCCATGCACCTCCCCATCTGCCTCTCTATGCAGTAACACAAGACGATTTGTTGGGAGAAAAAAACAAGGAAAAAGACAAGGATAACCAGATCTCTCTCTCTCTCTCTCTCTCTCTCTCTCTCTCTCTCTCTCTCTCTCTCTCTCTCTCTCTCTCTCTCTCTCTCTCTCACAAACACACATACACTCTGCCCTACACTCACTTAATTAATTTTAGAGCCAAGAGATAATCAGGTTCCACTAATGGATTTCCGTGCGCTTGCTATTCTCTACTATATCCGTGTGCCAGTGGGCATAAAACGTACCATTTTGTTGTATCACATGTTTTCCCCCTGTTCCCGTGTCTGACTTCCTTTCCAAGGTTTTGGAAGCGCAGCACACTTATAACACCTGGATTTAATCCTGCAGGGTCCTCTTGAAATGAGAGCTACTCTGTACCTGAGGAACAGCCGGGTCTCCTAAACATTTCACTCCCATACAGTGAACTGCATTGTCAAATATGTTTAGAGGGAAAAACAGTTTCTTCTGAATTACATATGTTGTGTGCCTGAAGTTTTATTTTTTGGTTTGCTTATGAAGTATCACAAATACGTGGTATG